TAGCTCAGGGTACCAGTGGCGTTGATGAGAGCACCGACACCATAAGACTGAAGAGCAGAGCCGATGAGGGAAGAGCCCCAGGCGAGAGCAGCACCGGAAGCCTCCTTGGAGCGGATGAACTCCTCCTTGGTGTTGGCAGCCTTGGCGCGCTGGTAGGTCTGGCCGAAGATGGGAGCGAGGACGGCGAGCTCAATGCCGTGGTTGAAGGCCGTGCCGAGGGCGATGGCAGAGGGCTTGACGGGGGGAAGGTAGTGCAGAGACATTTTTGATGTGATGTGGTTGTTTTGTGGTTGAGAGATGGGTATAGCTTCAATTGGTTGAGATGAGTTGTGTTAGAGTGTGAAGGAATAAGGTGGCAGTAGATTGGATTGGATCCTTCCCAGTATTTGTACTCTCGAGCTCGTCACAGATCTCGATCTCGCATCATTGAGAAAAGCGCTTCCGGGTGGCTTGCCTTGCATTGCCTTGACTGTTTCTCGGCTTCTCCCCTCCTCTCTCTGCCCTTGTGTCGTCACCAGATGTGATGATGTCACCATTTGGTGAGACAAATTTCAACTCTGGACCGTTTTCCTCCATGCTCCAGCCACTGCAGCTTCTGTTGACTGCCACTAACCGATTTAATTCACTGCCCTTCACTTATTGCGGGGTGCATCTCTTTTTTTCCTTTCCTCCCCTGCCAGCTTTGTACCTGATCTGACGTTTACGTGCACGACTCAGACCTACATGCCATCCATGGGTAGCAGAGCTCACTCAATCACTCACTCTTGCATGCCTAGGTACGGTACTCACAGCTGCCCTGTCTATAGTTGGAGCTACAGGAGCTTGATCTCCTGTGGGCGGGGCAAAAGATGGGGAAGCTTGGTCTAGCCTAAGGTACTGTAGGCCCAGGTCCAGGCAAGTTTCTTGGTGACCAGGGTTTGTAGCTGCTGCTCCTACTAACTCCAGCAGAGTTCAGTCCAGTTCCATGAAAACAAGCAAGTCTTAGCGGGGAACAGCGCCATAACCAATCTCTACCACGAGCAGCACACTGAGCACAGTACCAGACTTTCTCCAAAGTGAGTGACGAGTGACGGTGTCACGGCGTCATTTGCATCTATTCCTTTCCTTTCCCTCGGCTGTCACTCTCACTCTCACAATGAACCCCGGTAATGTCAAAGCCGGCCATTGACTTTTCCTTTTGCCATTGTCTCCTGTCCCTTTCCAGCCGAACTCCCTTCAAGAGCCCCCAGCTGAAAAGTGCCTGATGTGATCCGCGCAACCGAAGCCGGTCCAAAGCTTGTTTTTTATTCCCCGTTTCCAACTTCTCAGTTCAACCAAATTCCCATCTTCAAACCTTGTAAAGCCGGTCCTGGTCTCCCGAAAACAGCCGGCCCAGCAACACATTCCGGTTCGAGCTAACCTGCAACTCTTGTCTCAGACTGTCACCACATGCCTTTGACACCAGACCCTGTCCCTGAACATCACAATTCGAGTACAGAGGATTGGGATGTCATGACGGATTCGACGTGTGATTGTGGATGGACCCTTGTTCTTTGTTTGCGAATCGCTTGTGTCTAACTGGAAATATGTCGGTGCATCACGAGACGATTGAAAGCGATCCTGCACTTAGTTACTCTAACCCTTCTAACAGTGATGTAACTCGAGCATTGCTCAGTATTAGGCTTACCCTACAATTGAGAAGGGGCATTATGAATAAAGACAGCTACATCGTCATATATCTGACTCTAAATTATACGATATGCATAATATCATCAGAAGTTTCCCTCAACTACGTTAAGCCACTCGTCTGGTCTGGGGTAACATGGCGGTTGCTCTCCCGCCGCATCTGCTCCCTAATAGCTTGTAAGGACCAACTTTTTCCACGTAAACTACAGCGAAAACGAGAAATCAACTCCAGATTAAAGTACCTTATCATAAGTTATGCCTAATAAATATCATAGGTTATGCCATATGTTGACCATCTTCACCACCCCTTAGGGCTAATAACGCCCGAACATCATGGACATACTGCAGACCCTCCAGCAGCGGCACCAAATGCATCAAGTCTGTATCCGTCGGATCATTGATCCAGCCCTGGATGGGAATCGCATTGTCTGGCAAATGAATGTTAACAATCTCTGCCCAAACAATCCGACTGAGGCGCCTTACCTTGGTGAAACAGATAACTCAATGGACTGTTGTCCAGAATCATCACCTTGCTCAGGTCTGACTCGACCGAGCTGAGGTCCTTGATGAAAGCGCCTTGCCGGAACGTGCAGTGCTGGCGATAGTATCGCGCCGAGAAATACTTCCTCTCCGCCTCTAGCCAGTCAATCACTGGATCTGCGTACTCCTGCACCGACGCTGTGAAAACAACCAGATTATACCATTTGCAGACCCGCCTCAAAAACTCGTCGCAATACGGTCGCTTGTTAACCCAGTATAGAATCGGATGCTGCGGTCCAATCGATGTCTGTCCACCAACCCCCACATATGTTGTGTTCAAGCGCACTTCAACCATGTGTCCGGTGCTCATCCTGCCGCCCTTGGACATGCTGTGTATCAGGGTTTCGTCTAGATCTAGAATCAAGGTCTTCTGCGGGCTCGTCGGCGGTTCGAGGTTGATATAGGACGGCTGCCTGCGTGGGATTAACGGTCGAGGTGGTGCCGGTGTCTTTGGGTACTTGGTGAGCGCTGCAATGGGAGAAGTGGGAGATTTCAGATGCGCCGATAGGTCGCCGCCGCCCAAATCACTAGCCTTTGTTCGCGCGACTGCCGATTGTGTTTTCCTATGCTTCCGCTGCCTGAGATCTTCGTCGCTGTTGAGCTTGATGCGAATTGACCTTCTCGTCGGACCGGTTTCCTCTGCAGGCTGTAGTGACTTCGATCGTGCGTGTCGACTGAGACTGCCTGACGGCGATCCATCTGATTCTGACTCCGACGAGAGGCCTGAAGACGTCGATGATGATGATAAGGGCCTCGGTCTTGGTGTTAGCTTCCTATATCCTGTAGTCCTGCCATAGTCTTTTTCAGAAACGTTTTCAAGTTCTTCCATGGTCTTATGTCGAGGTCCGTGTAATCCAAATAGTTTTCCGAGCTGCGTAAAGGGTGCGAAGTTGCCGTATTCGTCATAGAAACATGCAATGAGATAGACGCCTGGAGATGCCAGTGTCGCAAGAACCCATCTAATAGAACCAATAATGCTAGAAGCAAAGCGTCGAGGGATAGAGTGCCACCATGAGCTTCGTTTTTGGCTGTCGCCTGTGTCGTTGAGCAATGGTGTACTCTCGTCAGCCGGTTTTTCGGTGAATCGCGATTCGTCGATAGTATCCTGGGCAAAGGATTCGGTCTCGTGACCGGAAGGTCTATCGTCGCCGTGCTGGTCCTCGGAGGCCAATCCAATTGTGCCAATGGGGCCTCCTCCTATGCTGTTCGATCGAGATTGAGTTGGACTCGGGGGCGGCGATACGCGGGCCGTCAGGATGTTGAGAGAGTTCATCGCCACAGGCTATCGCATTCCATGAGGTAGAAGAAGCAGTTCAGGGGATACGCTCGAGTCTTGAAGTTAGGTGCAAAGAGTTCGGAATTCTGTGACAGCGGACGGAAAGAAGGGAAACAGTCCCGAGGAACGGATCGTCGGGCTATTGGCCGGGCTGTTTTCGCGGGAAGGTGAAGCCGTCGGTACAAAAGCTGATTGACAGGAAGTGAAACGAATGTCAAGAAGGCATCGAATGCGTGCGGCCAAGCGAAAAAATAAGGATAGAGGCGAGGACTAGGACAGGGGCGCAGTACAATCGCGATGGTAGGGCCAGGGAATGTACAAATGGCCTAATGATAGAGAGTGCCAGGGAGGAATTAACAAGGGCACTTTTTGACGACAAAGCCCAAGCAGCAGAAACAAATCCAATCCAAAAGTACAGATGTCTTGAGTGGTGAGACGATTAGGTTAGCCTGGTCTAGTAACCTGTCGGTTGGTTGTGTTGTAGACTACCAGACGAGACAGGCAAGACAGAGCAAAGACAAGCCGCCCTCGCAAGGTTGTCAGTGAGTAGGTAAGGTAGGTAGTTATCAACTGTTTCGTGGCGTTGAGAGGGGAGCTGGCTGCTGGGGAGAGTTCTAAGGCTGGGAAGCCCTTTTGTTGGTCAACTAAGTTAGGTCCAAGATCGGGTTCTTCCAAGCTAGAAATAAGCAGCCCTGTAGCGCTAGTTGTAAAACAGTAGCAAATACGTAAGTATAGCGGGCTGCCGACGGGTGAGGCGGGGAGTCTGTCTTTTTTTCTGGCTTGCGAGAAACAAGAACAAAGAAGCCCGTGGCGATTGATTGATTGCTGGAGAGGAATAAAGATAAGAGGAGGGGGGCAAGTTTACGAGCCGCTTTGAGCGCGCGCAAAGAGAGCGTGAGGGATCTGGTCAAATCAGATCAATTCAGAAAGGAGTGAGTAGATCACAAAGGGAGTGAGATGTGAGAGAATTTGCTGATGGGTGGCTCGATTGACGACGGATGATGGTTGAGAGGGATGGCACGTGTTGGGGATTGAGGTGCCGAGATGCTGGGGAACTGCCAGGCTTTGGAGTGGAGGGGCTCCAGCATGCGAACTCGACTTTCTAGGCTGTTTTCAGTGCATCACTGGTCCCTGTTACAGTAGCGCTACAGGGGTTCTTGGATACCGCGGCTCGTATCAATTACATATGCTCTAGGTGGTAAGTGCCATAAGTGGGCTTACAGAATCCCTATCATAAATGGCCTCTGTCTGGGTCAGAAGACTCAAGACCGTACATCAGTCGAGAAAATAAAACAAAATAGTCAAAGATCATACCAAGTTTATTTTTATTCTCCCAATACTGCCTAAATCCTTGTCACCTAAGGACATCTTGCCATAAGCTTTCTGTCACCCCCTAGCCAGCAACACTACAATAAAGACTTCTTCCACAAATCAACTACAATCAACGCAAGTCCCCCTTTTGTTTCCCAAACAGCTCATGTCACCACGGTGATCATGTTTCCTATTGACAACAGCTTCGTTATGGCTCTTCCTCAGATTCAACTGGCTCAGCTCCCACTCTCCAGGCCTCTCTTTGTAATATCCCTTCTTGGCGTATCTGCCGCAGCGATCTAGGATCAATTACACCATTAGGCAAACGGAGATGATGGATGGCATCGCCATGAGAGATGATTTCGCCCTCTACTCGCTCGATCTTGCAAAGGAATTGATGAGAGTCGCATTGGCCAACATATCCTGGATGAGAATTACATGTGCAGACAACTTTCTGCCATGTCTCAACCACCTCTTTACTGAAATCGAAACCGCATGTTCCTCGCCATGTGAGAGTCGCCGAGCCCTGTACCTTTCTGCCACCCTTTTCGTTCTTGTGGAAGATGACCGCACTGGCCTTGTCTTGAGAACAGTGCCAGATCGCCAAACTCTTCAAATGCTGCATCTTTTGCGCAACTTGGCCAGCATTCACCAACAAGTCCGATATACTTTGCCGAGACCCTTTCGTCATGAGTGGCGTTGTGAGTATCAGCGATCGGAGTCGAGGCCAGTCACTGAGCATCTTGCAAGATGTGAAGAAGTCTCGAGCATCGATCATGAAAGACACAGAAAGATGTTCGAGGTTATGGCTCTTCACGGCAAATGCTTCCCCCATCCTATAGTTTGTACGTCGGCGGGTCTCTACTTGGAAGGACTCATTACCAAAGGTTGGGACCGGATTGCTCCGAATAGCTTCTATCATTTGTTCGTTGAAATCCTCGAAAATAGTCACTGATCTGACGTGCTGGGGCCATGTGGGAAGCCCATCCAGCAACACTATTGCATAAGAGTGTTAGATACCGGGATATGCCTATCGTGTCTGCCGTTGACTTACTTTGGTCTTGCTTCCCGCAACTCAGGTCATTTTCATTTGGTAGGTGGAGCAGAACCCGCCATGGCTCGTAAGTGATGCTCTCGAGATTTGGGAACTGCTTTAGCAATTTCGAGAGCGCGCTTCGGTCAATTTTACGTCGCATCTGTCGGCGGATCACAACCCCTTTAACTGCAGGAACTTTTGGGGAGCTCGCGCTCCCGACCTCTGCAATGGCTGTTATGAACAGCTGCTGAATAGCTGAGGTCTTTGGAGGCTCTTTCTGCTTTCCTTCGAACCAGCCGTGGTCTGGATCATCCCAGGCTTCCTGCTTCTCGAGGAGATTTTCATGATTTTCGTGTTCGAATCCGTAAAGATGGTTCTTGAAGCAGTGGTTTGGGTCACCCGGTGAGTACGCATTGAGCTCCAACGTTATATGATGTGTAGGCTCCCAGGCTGCGAGCGCTTTAGTCAGACTTTGTAGTGCCTCTTTGGTGAGCATGGAAGGGTCAAACAGATGAGAATAATTACGGCACTGGGTGCAGTAATAGTCAGGGAGCTCCATGTTGAGGTAAATTTGGCGAATGAGGTGTCTTTGCATGATGACCTTTTCCAGGCCTTGGGTGGATGCTCTGTTCAGCTCAAGCCGATTGAGATTTTTCGATGCAACAATGGCATGCCATTCTTTACAAACAGTGGACGCACGACTCCATCGGTTTTGGCGAGAGATCTCCTCTAGGATCATGCGGCGGATCTCTTGAGGGAGAAAAGCCCAAGACGAGCGGCGTCTGGCCCTCTCTCGTGTGTGGCTACGGAGTGTCACCATGATGACAGATGAGGTTGGGATGGAGAAGAGAAGAGAAGAGAAGACGAAGTAAAGCGACAACAGAAAGTTTTGAAGAGCCTGTGTCTGAGTTTGCAGAAACATCGGATTTATTCTCTTAAACTTTGAAGATACTGAACATAGTTCACCAAGTTGTGAGGCTATTGGTACATGTGGAGGATGCTGCGATGGTAAGTTTCATGAAGAACCGAAAAAAATCAATATCAGCCATTCAACTCTCGACATCTTGTTGAAGACAAAACCTTCATAGTGGTGAGTTTTGAAGTATTCCACTTACACAAAGCCCTTATCTCTGTACTTACCTTATGTAAGGAACAAGATGAACTCAGCTACTGTCCCACTGGGATGAACTAACACAAGAGTTATACATGGCTAATACCAAGTTCTAAGGTCTCATCAAGCTTGATATTTGGTCCATGTTCTGATCCTCTAATAGATAAACGATAGTAGTATCGTCGTGTCTTTCATAAGGTGGTTGTAGGTTGGTTGACAGCTGACAAGGGTTGAGAGCAAGGGCATCCATCTTATTAGGCCTGGCCAGGTTGTGGATACATATTTCGGGTTTACATGTTCGTTTTCGTATCTAGAATTTACAAAATGATCGGGTGGTTCTGACGCAATGTCTCTTTACATGTGAAGAGCACCCTTGTTGATGATATGCACCTTTGAGAAAATGTTTCATATTACAGCGAGTGACTAGATATGTACGGAGCGCGAACTCTTCCTTGTTGTTTAAGAATAAGTATAACGAAATGAACGAGATGGGTATGTTTAGGTGGCCCAGGAATTAAGCAGTACGTCCTGCATATTGAACATATCACTAGCATAAGGGTGTTTGATGGTTTAGGCGAACCAGTTTGATCACTTTCTTGGCAATAAAAGAAACAAATCGAGCTTCGGAAGATTACTCCGTAATGCCTTGACTTGAAAGTTGCCAGCTCATCAATTTCCATTCTTGAAGTTTGTGACAGCTCATACATACCTCCCAGATGGTAGCGGTGAGTCCAACTCTCCAAGTGTGACAGCAAATATTGATATATTACACATATCCCACCCGTGATTGGGAATCTGTCACGTTCTCTCAAGATTCTTTCGATCACCAAACGCATCTAATTAGTGCTACGTTCTAACGTTAGGGGAGGAAGGAAAACCCAGGACCTTGATCCTAAATGACAAAGAGACTTAGGTAAGTTAGGATAGATTTAGTATAACTTTACTAGATTTAGGATATCTTTTTGCTAAGTTTATTTTTAATACCCTATATTTAGGCCCGAGTTTTCTTGCCCCCGAGGGTACGTTCTAACTTAGTAGAATCTGCCCCTGTCCCATTGTCGTCATGGCTTGCACTCGGGGCTCGGGGTATAGCCCCACAGAGCGACAAGGCTGATGGCCCCCACCTGAACCTGAAGCCTTGCACAAAAAAAGGCTCCGATGCGAGGAGGAATTGGTTGACTCATATTCACAAACCGTACAATTCGTTCCAAGCAGCAACAATCGTTTTGCCTGTTCAACAACATCGACACCTCGCACAACGCCTGCGAAATATATCACTCGAAACAGAGAATAAAGCAGCATCTTCAGATCAAAAGCATATCTTGGGCGATATTTGTGTTTGACTCACAAATCACCCCTCCATTTCACCCCGCGAATCGCACACATCTTACCCCGGCTTCACTACCTACCCAGCTACGACCGCCCGCGACTGTGACTCAGTAGATATGGCCCCTCTTTCTACAGGCTACGCGCCTGATCTCGAGAAATATCTCAGGTCTCTCAAGGGTCAACCACTAGAATCCTCTGTTGAGAGCCTCATCTGGTGAGACACCCGCCCGCCAAGTCCTTTGCCAAGATGCCCGTTACTTTAAGATGCTCGTTACTAAAGTGTTCACGATACCTTCAGTCTCCTCAAGCGACGACAAATCAAGGGCTCTGAGCCCTGCGCCGTCGCCACAGCTCACATTCTACTCCAAGTCGTTGCCCGATCGAAATGGTTCAATGTTGACAGCTTGATCGACAACGTCTCGCGTATTGGTCGTCGCCTGGTCGAGGCTCAGCCCAAAGAGCTCGTTATTGCCAACATTGTGCGCCGAGTTCTAGGCCTCATTCGCGACGAAGCTGCCGAGGATAGAAACGAGGGTGCGAGTGAAACCCCTAGTGACGCCCAGATCACACCAACCGATGCTGTTCCGAACCCAGATGCCCTTTCTCACCAATGGCCTCCTTCGACATACGGCAAGCAAGATTCTGCCGGAGACTATATCACCAACAGCGCCAAACCCCCACCCGCTCGGCCAGGCCCACTCTCCTCTTACAGCTCCGTCAACGTGCCTAAGACTCTCTTCCACCTCCTTTCAGTGTCTACACCCGGCGAGCTCGCGCCCAGCAGCCAGGGATCGCCTCTAGGTCTTTCAGGGGCATCTACTCCTTCGTGGAGAGCTCCTTCGGCTCAGGTTCATGCTTTGAGATCAGAGGTCATCGATGGTATTGAGGAAATCAAGGACGAGATCAGTTCCGTGGACGATCAAATCGCAGCCTTGGCTGATGTTCAAATTCACCCCGGTGACTACGTGCTCATTCACCGACCCTCACCTACAGTCGAGCGATTCATTCTTCGCGCAGCCCTGAAGCGCCGGTTCACAGTTCTCATCGCGACCGAGCCACCGAAAAAGCAGACCCAGGAAGTCCCCCATGCTTCATTTCGCAAGAAGCTTGCTTCCGCTGGTATCACGGTGATCAACATCATGAACGGAGGGTTGATGGCATACATGTCCCGAGTGGACAAGGTTATCCTGGGGGCGCACTCGATTGTTGCCAGTGGTGGCGTTATGGCCGATGCAGGTGCTTCAGCCATTGCTCGGGCCGCAAAAGAGCGAGGACGTGCTGTTATCGTCCTCGGCGGCGTGTACAAACTCAGCCCTGTGAACCCGTTCAGTGGGGATCTTTTGATTGAGTGGGGAGACTCTGCCAGCTTTGTCAACTTTGCGGATGGGAACATGGTGAACAGTGTCGAGGTTCGGACTGCCCTCAATGAGATGATCCCTCCAGAGTTGATCGACATATACATCACCAACTTGTAAGTCAAGGAGAGGCCGCTTTGCAAGGCAAACAAACAACTAATCTTTTATGCAGGGGGACACACTCAAGAGATCACTTATCCAGTCTCATCGCAGATCATTACAAGACGGAGGACGTCGACTTTTTTCTGAACGATGAATGACGTAGGAATATTGAAAAATCAAAAGACAAGAAAACGTCGCAAAAGTTGTGCCTTGCATTCATTCATTTCTCGGCGTTGAGCGAGACAGGGTCAAGGAGTGAAGGTACCATAGAATTTGCTTGATAGCACATATCACCAGCGTTTTAAAATTTCAACCATATTGGGTTGAAATCAGCCTCACACAAATTATCAGATTACGCCGCAACCGTATGCATCGTATTGAGTCGTGTGCGGTGTATGAAAGCAATGACGACGACCCAAGTCAAGCATAAGTTTAGAGTATTACCAGACAAGGGGATGCAATAAAACTTAGGACCTCTATCCTAAGTAACAAAAAGTCTTAGGTAAACTTAGTGTAATTTAGTAGAATTTAGTAAAGATATAGAGGATCTTAGACTAAGTATTTTTGACACCTTGGTTTAACGTCAGAAGTCTTCTTACACCCTGAAGCGCGCCAGAGTGATCAGAGGCCGGGAATGCGGCACCACAGCTGTCAGTTAGCTAGCCTAGTCTAGGCTCCCTCTCTCGGCCGCGTAAGCACCAGCTCGGCCATTGGACGCAGGGGATCCTTGGGAGTCATAGGGCTGCGAATGCGAGTTGCGTAACCCCCTGTAAGGCTCTCGCTGGCTGTAGGGCATTTTCGCATGGAGTTCGGTGATTTGATCAGACCGGAGGTTGAAAGCGTTTCCGCTTTGGTCATGATGTGAGGTGATAGCTGAGGGTCATTCCCAAGTGTTAAATAAAAGATATACCCTTCACTTCACGCTATGATGCAGTCACATTTATTAGAAAGCTTTCAAAGCTTACAGTAGATTAATCAGTGTGCCATTGTATCACACCATCAGCACTCACCTACCACCTACAGTATCTCTCTCTTCCCCCGTTAATACCCCTCCTCCTCCTCTTCTCTTCTCATCATGACAGCTCCGTCACCAGCCATGGACTCTTCTACCAGCAGAAACAATCCTCCATATCTCACAACTGGCCAGGCCCCAGCAACAGCTGACGATGCGCCACCGCCTCCATACTCAGAGACTGATATCTACTCTACCTCTTCTCAGCCCCCGCACTCACCACATGCTGGCTCCGTCGCCGGCTCCGGGCACGGCCCCGCAGCTCCCGGTGACGATACCGCCTCCCGCATGTCCTCAACTTCAACTACAGAACCCATCTTCACTCCGCCACTTACACCTCGCACCGAATATAATGCCAACGCAACAACTCCTACAACTCACGAAATCCCCCTCTCTCCCAGTGTAGCTCTCTACTTTGAGACCCGGCCTGTTCCAACATCGGCGTCCCAATGGGAGCCTCAGATCCACACCATCACTGTGAAGCCGAACTCTGTGCCAGATGACATTCCTTATCCGGAGAATTGGGCGACTTCATACGATATCACAGCCCAAGATTGGGCCACTTTTGTCAACTTTCTCCTCCCTGACCACGATTCCGTCCGGAATGAGGCTATCTTAGGTGAAAAGGGCAAATCAGAGGATGGCTCAGATATCAAGTCATCTTTTGGTGGCGACGGAAGCGTCAAGTCAGAGCGACACACAACTGATCCTAATGAATTGCGTCGCAAGCGTGCAGAGGTCGAAGCTATCGTGCAACAGTGGAACTCTGGCTTCTTCGCTCCCAGAAATATCATGGTAAGGCTCCAGCCCGAGGAGCAATCGCATATGCCAGGAGGATGGGAGACCACATTCGATGATCCCCCAGTACAACTTCCACCACAGGCTGGGCCGTCTTCTCCGAGAGAGGCGAT